CCCCAAAACCCCAAAACCCCAAAACCCCGAAAAACAAGATTTCGCAAAAATTATAAGAATATTTATGCTGATTTAATAATGGAAATCCTATAATTATTTCATACCACATCAACAGTTCAAGAACTGGAAGAAGAAAGTTAAGATCTGAAATCCTGCTAGAGAGTTGCCGCTATGGATCTCTTCAAATGCAAATTCAACTTATTCAATGAGAGAGGCTTCGCTTTTGAAGCATTTAGGTAAATATCTTTGAACTTTTAATACAATTTGTAAACTTATCTGGATTTAGACAATGGCTGATATGCATTTTATCACTTGCATTAATTGGATACTTCTCATACTGCCTTGTGAGACTATATAAATTTCAAAAAAGAATCTCTTTTGATTTCGTTATGATTTGTATTGAAATTCTTAAAGTAATTACCTTAAACTCTAGTTTATTCACATTCTTTAGATATTTTTGCTTCTCTTGCATGAGTTTATACTAATAGAGATGATTGCCTTGCTCATCATTATGATTTTTTAATCACAAATGAGAGCTATTGTTTGTGCAAATTTTATACAAAAAACATTAGTCATGTCTATGTAAAGAAGTTATCTTAAGATGTAAAATTATGTTCATAAGTTAAAATAGGTTTTACTTCATTTATTACGGGATAATTGTGTCGCTAAACATTCTAACCATTGTCTTATCAGTGCTGAGCTAAACCAGGTTATCATGTGTAGATGATTTATTCAGTAAATTTATATAAATAATACTAATCTAGGTTTTCACTTTTTCATTGTTTGTGGAATAGATTTCTTGTAATCAATCTTGATTCTGGTAGCATCATTTATAATAAGAAAACTCATGAGATAATATCAACATGAGGAGTCTGAGAAATTCAGTGAGCTCTAAGACAATAAAATCTATCAATGCATGAATACTCAAGTAAAATACCTTGCCTACTCCTACGTTTTATTCTCAGTCTCTGATGTCATTTTACTTTTTGTTGGAAATGTCATTCATTCATAGGGAGAAATATTTATATGCACCAAAAGTTGGTATATGATGAGTGAATCGCCAGAAGGCTCAGTTTTTATTCTTGTTGACTACATATTCCTCTATTTATTCTCAATCCTCATCTGGTTTATCTTCTATAGACTACCAGATAAATATGGATTACTTGGTCACACACAAGCGCAAGATCTCAAAATGTCAAGTTCAACTGAGGGATCAATAAATACTTCAAGTAAAGAAAATAAAAGAAATAATAGTTAAGTAATTGTGGATTTTATGAGAATGAGTCAAGATTTCGATAATACTCCTTTGATAAATAACGTCAACGTGAAATAAAGAAAATCATCAGTTTAGCTATAATAGAGCACTCTTATCCAAGATGATGGACTTCACAAAACCTTAGTCTAAAGACATTAAAATTAGCTCTCAATAAGACTTACCAGCCCCCAAAAACATAATTTTAGAGCCACTTAGATACCTTCTCATCAGCTTAGTAGCAATCAAAATTTAATAAGTAGTACTACTACAGCGGGATTTGTCTCTGTATACAATCCTACAGCTGGACTAATTGAGGATAATTCAAAATCTGTTGTAAACAAAAGAAAGAAGAGGTAAAATATTTTTATGCAAACTGAAAACAAGGGAAGTATGCTTTCGCACAATAGAAAGACTTCTCCGTATAGAGATGTTGAATGAGGTCAATAACTCTACATATGTTCTTTTTATCATACAAATACGATTACAATTCATATGATCAAAATAATCTTATCACCATTCAATAATTTGAATAATCTTATTAATACATTATCTAAAAAATAAATGCAACATGGGGTTTTGGGGTTTTGGGGTTTTGGGG